AACGTACCGTACCGATTCAAGAAGAAGCGTGTTAGTATGGAGTTGATTCAAAGCTCTTGAGTCTTGTGTCATCACCCGTCACTTTGTCATTCAAGCTTGATACAATATTAAGGAGGAGTAATTTAAATTAATGAAGAGATTTACGGAAAACTTTAGAATTGTATAGATATTTTTTGAAAAGCTGACTAACTTGTAAATAAGTAAAGACTAATATAACAATTTTTATTTACATTTTAACACTTAAAATTATTATGTAAATAAAAGGACTTTCACTTGCAAAATCTGTTAGGATCGAATCCACATACACACTTGATGAATGAAGAACACAAGAATTTTCTAGAGAGAGATGAGAGATCTAGAAAGAGAAAGAGAGAAATCAATTTTTCGTGGTAACACCCGTAAGTACGGTAAGGTATATATAAATAATTTAAAATATTTTTTATTATAGAGAATAAATGAAGAATGAATAATACAGCCTAAAATCAGACTCCACGACCTAACAAAATAGTGAATTGGATGGTGTCTAAGAGGAATTGGAAATAGTGAGGGAGAATGTGGTTTGGTGTGTAAGAGGAATTAGTGCAACTCTAAGTTTATGACACTTCTTTGAAAGGTCAGACTTGACATAATATTAGTAAAATATATAAAAAAAATATTCTTAAACTATGAGAAATGAATAAAATGTAGTGAAATTGACTTGATCATAAATACTTTAATCCCCGTAATAAATGATTATCTAAGGCAAATGAGGGCTTTAGGACTAGTATGCCTAACATTTTCTAAATATTTTTGGATTGAATGATCAATTTTTTTTATTTTTTTTGCATATTTATATTTTAATTGAATGATCAATTTTATTATTATTATTGTTGTTATTGTTATTATTTTAGAGTATTAAGAGATTTTCTCACATGATTAAAAGTAACTGGTTGATGTAACTTCTTTAAGCTTGAGACATATCACAGAAATGAAAATTTATCATGGGACATTGATTGAACGAGAAACTAAAGAAAATAAAAAAGTTCACATGTTAAACAAGTAGTAAAAATCGTCCATATTGTATTTTTTGAGAGTTATGCATATGCTGATTTTCCCAATTAAATTGAACCTCTTTGAGTCTTGATCCATTCAATAAATTTACCAAATATCTTATTGGAATTTCCTCCTTTATTGACACTTGAATTAACCTTTGCTTGAAGATCTAAAGCCCTTTCTTTAAATGTTACATCTCCAAATAACTTATCCATCTTATTCTGAATTTCTTCCTTTCCAATAACTCCGAATTCATTTTTGTTAAATCCCAATCCGACTTTCCAAACATCACAAATATAACTTTGATTGAATAATTGGTCAGCAAAATAAGGCCAACACAAGAAAGGTACCCCATTGCTTACACTCTCGACAGTCGAATTCCATCCACAGTGACTCAAAAAACAAGCAATAGAAGGATGTGCTAGCACTTTTTGTTGAGGTGCCCATTTCACTATATGGCCTCTAGAACCTACTCTGTCTTTGAAACCTTTGGGGTAAGCGCAATCGTCCCCATCCAAAATTAGGTCTTCCCGAACCACCCATAGGAATGGTCGTTTGGATGATTCTAACCCGATTGCCAGCTCCTGGAATTGAGTTAAGTCCAAGATTGTAAAGCTACCAAACGCTACGTATATGACGGAGTTATGTGGCTGTTGATCAAGCCATTTTAGAGAATTCGAGTCTTGGGGCCAGAAATGCCCTGCTGATGATCCTAATCTGTTGCTTGCCAAAAGAGGTCCTATTGGTGACACCTGAGGGAACATGGCAAATGCTGCAGGCTCCAGTTCCTTTGCTGAGTTACAAATGATCCAATCTGCGAATTTCACTTTTTCGTTGTTGTCTGCTACAAGATCCATTATCATTTTCCTCATTGCTGGATCAGGGAATGTAGCCCATGAAAAGTCTGATGGATTCATGATGGGCATGTTTGGTGATAACTTAATCCCCTCTGCCTTCAATATAGATCCTGAAATGCAAATTTTGTTAGAAATCTACAGCATCATACAAACCTATACATGTCTAATTATTCAAACATTAATTTTCTACAACTCATTTTTAATATACCGCCTTTGTTGGAATTTAAAAGGTGTGCATGAGAAATAAAGGGAGTTGCGATTTTTATGAAATGTTGTAACTTTTATGAAAAATTACAACTTCTATGAAAAGCTGTGACTTTAATAAAATGTTTGTGACCTTTTTGGAAAGACACAAAGAACTTTTTCACACTACCCTTTTTCTATAAATTGAGGGATTTCTTCTCATTTTTTTTAGTTAAAATCAATTTTTTTTGGACTTCTACTACTTCTAAATCTAGTATTCTAAGTATATTTTACTGCCGCTGAGTGACTCGCTGACACCAACGTTTGGGTATCACTACACTGGTGATTGAAATCATTTTATCCAGAGAGGACATATTCCTAATCAAACTTCGGATACTAGAGGCGAATAATTTCCTTAAGGGGAAACTGTGCATTCAGTGGACTTGATCTTCTTTTTTTGTTTTTCCAGATTCTGGTATGTGTTACAGATTTTAGATTTGTGAATTAATTTTTGTTCTTTTGTTTTTCACTGATTCACTAAGCTTTGGTAACTTTGTGTTTCTACAAAGTCTGTTGCAATCAGTAAGATTCTTTAAACACAACTTTCTTTAAGAAAAAATATTTCATATTTTTTTTCTAATCTGTTTGTGATTCTAGCTTCTCTACTAGTTTTAATTTTCATTTTCGTGAAAATGTTTTTAAACTTATCTTACTAATAAAACATGAATGAACAACCTTTTCTAACTACAAATGCTTAGGTATTAAAGTGCAATGAAAAAACTTAAAAAATGGTACAAACATGAGCTCACCATCTTTGTCTATGATTCCATCATCGATGAGTTTTGAGACGCTAAATAAAGAGGCTAGCGTAGCAGCAGCAGCAGGCCAGAATGCAACGCTTCTAATGTTCAATTTGTCAGCTACTTCTAATGCCCATCCCATATTCTCATCAGCTACAACACATGAAACTTGTGATTCATTACTATTAATCATATGAATGACTTCCATAAGTTTCCCAGGCATAGCTTCATTTATTGATTCTGTCAACTTTTTAAGGTCTGTTCTGTCTTCATGAGGTTCTAATCCATCTGGAATTGAAATTAAACTTATCTTATCCTCTACGTCGTCGTTTTCAGATAATGACTTGATCACTCTTTTGTGATTGAATTCAGAGTTAACAAAAGTGATTTTGCAACCAAGCTCTTTGATTAACCATAAGGAAAGTTCCATTAATGGAAGAACATGACCTTGTGCTGGATAAGGTATAGCTACAATATGTGGAATAAATTGCACCATTTTTTTGATTTTGTTCTTTCCTTAATTCTCTGCAGATATTAAACATCTAACTAGTTGGTGCTTATATAAGGGACCCTAGAATCAACAAATATGTATTTTTTTAAATAGAATTCAAGTTTATATTACAACAATAATATATTCAGTGTAATCCAACAAAGCAGGTTTATCCCTACAATCATCAGCTCAAGGGAAAAATAAAATACAACATACTAATCTGCTACCCTTACCCGTGCCCTTCACAACCTCTTACTATGTTCATGTCTCCCGTAAACTAAAATTACATCATATACAATCTAATCACTTTTTTTTAATACTTCTTCGATCTGCCTGTACCCGTCTCGAAACTATCCATAAAATAATGTAACATGTTATAGTAAGTAATTCACTGTGTGCTTTATTTTTTAAGTTACTGATTCAACATTTTATGAATTATGGAGGTCACATAACTCGGAGTTCTGACCTTATCATCAAATTCATAGCTCATTTTAGTTATTGATACGTTCGCTCAAGTATTTATACATAATTGTTGAATTTCCTGATACAAATACATATGGTACTTTAAGCAAAAGCTATTGCATCTACCTCCATCCCTGCACGTATATGTTACGTTACTATCTTTTGGGTAATTTGATAGTATATATTAATATCGAAGATATGCTGTTTGCGCAGTTGCGCGCACCTGATGTGTTAAAGAGTTTGTGTTTAGTTCTTGGAATATTTTTACTTGTTGTATTTTTCTAATAGTACATGGACTTGGTGAATTACCAATGCTATTGGATAATAATATAATAGAGATATATTATAATTTGCATTTTGCTGATGTTGTTTTCCTAAAATGTTTGATACAAAGCTTGTCAATTGGCGTTATCAAAAAGGCCCAAGTGAATGTTCTCATCGACTAAGCTCAAAAACTTCAATTTCATCGATCACTTGTTAATTCCTCTCGTCTTCTTTTTAGAGCACTGTTTGCTACTGCAGATGTTAGAATTAACAAGTAATATGAATATACTAGTACAATGAAATCACAAGTAAGGTAGTCATTTTCCCCCTTTTGATTTTTCCGTCATATCAAACACCAGAAAATAATTAAAGTTGGCCAGTGACTAAGGGCGTGTTTGGTACGAAAGAAATTGTTTTTTTGCTTTTATAATTATCTTCTTGTATCTAATTAGATAGACGTCAAAATGTACCATGCCAAATATAGCATCTTTAACATACGTTGGATCTGTCAGGTTATTCTTGTAGGACGGAATATAAACCAAATACTTAAATAGACACATTCGTCCTACTTGACAATTTTAAGTGTCAAATTGTACCCACTCAAGTTTTTAGAAGAGGGAGGAGCACCAAGTGACCTTTCATAGTGTTGTCGCTAAGACTCAGATAGATTACTTGCTCCTTAGGAAACGTGACAGAGGATTATTCGTCATCCCAAAGCAAGAATCCTACAACAATGGCCACAACAGCCACTGAGCCTCAAGCATTTGAGTATGATTCAGTTTAATGTGACTGATGTGAGTTATTGTTCTATGGATTTGTAGGAAGTAAAACAAAGACATCAATTTGTTAGCTTGAAATGTGAATTAGAACCGGACAAGTCCAGCTTTGTTCACTATGTGTGTCAACCTTGTCAGGATAATCTCAAACCAACTGTAGCCTAAATAATTAAAAAGAGTACAAACTGATCTAAACTGAATTGGAAACTAATCCATGGTTGCAAATATACCACAGTTTTTTTCAGCTCACTATCTATCATACCTATAACAACGTGAATTCATTATAAGATGTCAGTTCTCAACCAAATAGCTCTACAATGTCCTAGGAGAGTCACCGTCTCCTTTATTTTCAAAACAGAAAAGCTAGCCCTTGAGTAACCACGAACCTCCAAACATGATGCATCACCAAATGCAGATTGTGTTTTCAAAGTCATGACCTGTTAGCTCCCGATCTTTGTTGCAAAAATACAATCAAGGGATCTGTACAAGCACAAAAAAGATAGGTAAGCTCTAGTAACAAAGAAGGGATTTCCTTCTCCGTCCCAAAACAAGAAAGATAAATTGTTACTTCACCCCAAAAAAAAAAAAAAAGACAAAATTATGTCATCTCATCTTCAAATAGAGAGAGGTGAAGATGACACGATTCCATCTCATACAGTTTGAGATAGATGAAGGTTAAATCTCCAAGGGACTACATATCATAGTATTAAGTACCTACAGTTTGCAGGTTAGTTGATCTTATTCACAACAAGCAGCTACATAAATTACTAATTACAAGATAATTTGTTATGAAAACCTTCCATAGCGCTCTACTAAAGAAAAGATATCACTATTGTTGACCAAATCAAATTAGATAGACATAAGTTTATACTAGTAAAGATCAGCTACATGCTGGGTACAACTAATCAAACGGAAGTATACTACTTTTTTTGGTTATAGAAGATCAAACAAGGGAAAATGCACAGTGAAGTCAATAGTCACTTAAATTTTCCCACTTGGCAAACTGAGAACATTTTCACATTCATTTTTAATCTGCCAGTCCCCTTTAATAATTTTTTTTCTTTTTGTGATGGTAAAGTTTGTGTACATAGCTTTACTGAAAACCATATTCACAACATGTCAAATCCCCTTCCAACTATTTTACCCTACAATTTATCAGAGAATCCGTATGTAATGAAGAAGCTTTTCATATTCTTCAAGATGGGCCGAAGGAACATGCAGGAAATATATGTATCAACAGAGCTTCAAAGTGAAGGATAGCCTTGGTGCAACATTAAGAGTTGCCGTCATGTGACCAGGAGGTCTATTGGTACAAGTGGTGAAAAGAGCCATTTGCAGAAGTGCTAGTAGGTAAAGCTGCATACAATCAACCCAATCTGTTCCGATCCACCACCGGACTATCCATAGTGAAAGCTTAGTGCACTGGGCCCCTTATTTTTTCAACAAACTTCAAACAACTCAAACTCTGTAACCAGCCTTTTAAACTTTGAGAGACATTAAAATGTAGATCATAGCAAATCCACTAATCTTCGATCAGGCAGCATATCATGCCACGGAAGATCCACACTGATGCCTAAAGTGCTAAAAAATCTTCCCTCACCCTAAAACAATTCATTTGCACCTAAACCTAGTATCATACTGTACAAGAAAGATTCAGCATTTCCAACTTATGCTTTCACAGAGGTTTGTACAATTGTACCTTATACTAGAATTTTAAACTAATTCATAAGATACATTAGAATACTGAAAACACAAGCAAACCACGTAGTGCGCTAACTATATTTTTGTGAGGGATGATATTAAGATGTTGAAGGACATGCTTCAAAATTGTTATCCAAGAAAGTTCATCAATTGACATGTTGCATATGAGACTGGCATATATAACAATTATGTGTGTACTGCAAGACAACACAACTAAATTAGAAACCAAGATCTGTCTTGCTTCAGAATGCATAACAATTATCCACATATTTGTGGAGACAAAAAAACTTAACTACTGGCACAGTACATCTATCCACCTTGGCGCATTCCCTATTACAAGAACTACATCCCATGATTCAAATTCATTAGCAGGATTTTGATTAAAATGGCATGAACAATTACCTCACTCCATAGTGACTTTGGCTCCAACCGCTTTCATCTTCTCAATAATTTTCTCAGCCTCCTCTTTCGTAACCCCTTTCTTCAAACTAGCTGGAGCCTTTTCCACCAAATCCTTAGCCTCCTTGAGTCCCAGATCAGTAAAAGATCTCACTTCCTTGATAATCTTAATCTTTGCCCCGGCATCAAATCCCCCTTCAAGCTTCAGATCAAACACAGTCTTCTCCGCCTTCTCCTCCGTCTTTCCCGCAGCTCCTGCACCCTTTCCCTTCATCCCTCCAGCACTAAATCCCATTCCAGGCATCATCATTGCCATTACAGGCATCTCTTCAATACCCATTTTCTTCCTTAGAACCTCCCCCAAATCCGATACTTCCAGCAACGTTAGACCCGAAATCTCATCGACTATCGCAGATACTCTCTCGGATGGGGCCGGCTTAGACTCCTGAGCTGATGTTGTGAAATTTGAACTAATTAACGATTTAGTGAAGCTGTAGAAATGGGTTTTGGATAAATTTTGAATCTTGGACTGTGGAATTCGTGAATGCACATAAGGTGTTTGATATGTGGAAATAGTTCTTGAACGGCGAGACAGCAATTGATTGATAAATCGATTAAAGCACCTCATGATTACAGAATCTTATAGCATAAGAACTTCTGCTTGGACTTTGTAACGGCGCCGGAGATAGTGATTACGGCGGCGGGTTTAAGCCGTCTGGGAGAAGTACCAAGGTTGGGGAAGTGAGGTTTTAGGCCTACTAGCATACACTTTGGCCCCTTAGGTTATGGAATTGCTATCCATGACTTAAAAACAATGTATTAATTTCTTCCTGTGTTAGTGCTTTTACATTAATATTCAAATTAAATACTATGTTTTGACTTTACAAGAAAGTTTTAAAATTTTCACACAATAAAGATAATATAGGGATGGGCTTAATAAAAGCAGCTTTAAAAAAGTACTTTTGAAAGTGCTGAAACTTATTTTTAAAATAAGTAGTTATGCGTTTGGATAAAATTGCTGAAGTTAAAAAAAAAGTTGTTGATGTGTTTGGCAAATAAGTGTTGATAAACAGCTTTTTAAATCAAAATATCTGAAATACCCTTAAAAGCTGTTAACATAATAAAAGTTAATTAATTTATATTTTACAGCCATAAATAATTATATTTTGCTATTATTCACATATTTCTTTCTCATCACAAATTATTTATAAGAGGAATATAAACTTATTATAGATTTTAAAGATATATAATTTGAATAGATTAAAGAACGATTTAAGATTTTATTTTAGTTTCATCCATAGGTAATAATAATTGTCACAAATTCACATATTTCTTTATTATCACAAATTATTTATAAGAGGAATATAAATTTTTATTTAAGTTATATGTGCAACTTATTTTACATTTTAATAATATATAATTTGAATAGATCACTTGGAAGATTTAAGATTTATTTTATTTTCATTCATTAGTAATAGTAATTGTGTATCATCCACACGTGAAAAGGGAAAAATAGAAGAAAGAGATGTTAGGGTTATGTGGATAATTTGGAGATTGTATAAAAATATTAAGGGCAAAAAGGTAAAAATGTGGTCAACTTAAAACAGCTTATAAGCTGGGAAAAAAAAGCACCCCTACCCCAACTTTTAACTTTTGGCTTAAAATAAGTTTTTTTTTAAACTTAAAATAAGTTATTTTGAGTATTGCCAAACAGCTAAATAAGTCAAAAACCAGCTTTTAAGATAGTGTAGAATGGTTTTGTGTATGTAATAGATAGTAACCAATTCTCGAGTATCTTAATAACTTAACCTCATCACAACTCACACGCGTAAAAAGAATGTTTTAAGCCATCCTCCTTCGAAGAACTTCTTTTTGATAGGTTAGTTTTGATTCTTTTACCACAGTTTAAATGATGAATACATCTCCTTTTATCTTTTCACGTTAATTTCTTCAAGTTGCCAGAGTATGCATCGTTACTTGTGTCACTGATAGCAGTTTAAACTTTCGTGGGTACTTGAACAAAGTCTAAAAAGATTATTCTTTTCTCATAAATTACAAAGACGAGAAATATAGTACAATTACACCACACCAGCCATTATATTGTCTCCTGTTCACATTCTCTTTAATGATATCTTGTTTCTATTTTTGTACTCCTGTCAAATCTGAGAGTATACTTCTTCCAAAAATAGTTTCAATGGTGTAGAATCCTAATTGCTACAACAAGAAATGGGAGGCAAAAAGGATGTAAAAGAACTAATACTCTTTCCTAGACAATTTTAGCAGGTTTAGGACATTCTCATAGACAATGAAGGTAATTGAAGCGGCAGGGGCATTTTTCAACACGTTTGCTGTGATACCTCTGTAAAAGCCGCGTAAACCCTCAAACCTGTAAGCTCAACAAGAAAAAAAAACCGAGTTTAGACGATGAAATTAAGGGGTAGTTTTACCAATAAGGGGGTTCTACTACGATTTTTATGACTTCTATGTAATGTATTAGATGATGGACGGAGGCAGGATAGAAGAAATTTAGGATCGAGAGAAGACTTGGAAAATTTGAAACATACAATTTGCTTCCCCTGCGTATCCTTTTGAATTGAAGTCTGCTTTTAAAGAGTTCAATAATCGACTGGAAATCTTTTTCAAAAAACTTAATGATCTTAAAGAAGAATTTTGAATTTCTTCAGCTTTTGTTTGTTCTTAGTTTGATTCCTGATATTGAATTTCTTCAGCAACCGTTGCAATCGATGAACTTGCAATTAGATTCAGAAAACATTTCAATATAGAGCAACTTAGTGTATGGCGTTCATGTATATTTAATCAAGTGCATAGGCTGTAAATAAGGCTGAAACACATCCTGACCTTGCAGTTTCCTTCACAACATGCCAGCTATCCATGTATCTTGGAACTCCAGTCGTACTTGGTCGTTGCTGTTAGAGAGAAGATAGACCATTTACTACGTTACAGAAAATTAAAATCACCACTAGATGCTTGTCTACTGAGAAGAGTTGTATCAAGTGTCACGTAAAGTGGTAACACGAAAGGCAGTTACCTGCAATCGAGATCGGACAACCTGAAAAGGTTTCATATAAATACATAATTAGTTAATGAGAAAAGCGAGGGAGCACGGCGTAAGATTGTTAGAACAAATTGGCACATGGAGATGAGTGCTGCATAATGCTCAAATTTCCCCGAATCCTTATTCCCAATAATAGAATAAGAACAAACTTACCACACCCCTAACATACCTGAAATGGGTATGTTGTAAGAGTGGCTGCCAACTTAGAAGAAGCTCCTAGTGTTGCATAGTCAACTGAATCCTGTGAAAGAAATGTAAGAGCAAATACTGAGGTGTAATGTTCCCTCTTATTGGGAACTGAAGTGGTCAACTTTCTACAACAAAGTATTCATATGAAGAAAACTAATCATAACAGTGACCACTATATCATTCATATCTGATAGTGTTCTTGAGTAATGATCAACCTCTAGACATGGTACAACCAATTCTTTTCCATTTACATCGAGAGCAATAATGAAATCTGCTTGCTTTTAAGAAAAAAAAAATTAAAAAAATACAGTGGTTCATAATAAATCACCTCTCACCACATAAAAAAACACCAAGAACCTTATAGTTAGTTTGGAAAATAATTGAATCATTCTTCACTCGGATCTGCTTATCTAAAGAAAAATATCCCCTTTTACTTTTACTCAAGTAGTTTTTTCTCTTTTCCTTTTTCCTAATTATATTTATCTTTTAATGGGGAGGGAAGGAGTTGGATAGTCTAGTGCCACTCTGATGCAGTAAATAAGGTAGATACAGTTGTTAAGGGACTGAAAAAGAAACCTTATGTGCCTTAGGATAATTGTAGACATGATATATGAATAATATCTTAGTTGCTCAACGAGAAAAGGCTTGAAAAGTTTCTGCCTCCAAGATTTCCTAGGACACCTACTTAATGTTTCTGCACAAGTAACACGACGAAACAATGAGGAATGAAAGCGCATAATACTAAGAGTTGGACTGCATATTCTCATCTGTGCCATTTGCCCACTAACTTAAAAAAATTCCTGTCCAACCTGAACTCATTCTTATTCATCTAGGCACATCTGAATTCCAATATCTAATAATACACAATGGGATCAATTTGCTGGTCATCCGAAGATTAAAACATCTATGGAGTTGATTGCATACAAAGAAAGCAATACACATTGGTTTAGAGCCTCACCAACAAGTCAGCAGCTGTGGCAAGAGGGTTTTCATTCTCCTGAGCTTTCGAGCTAAGAATGACTTTGCGGAATTCCTCATATGCCGTGAACTGAATAGCACCATGTGTAATCTGCTTAAGCAACAACAGACCAGCGTGTTTCATGAATGAATGGTGACACTTAAGCATTCAATTTGTTGTGTATTGTACAGATAATCGATCCAAAAAGTTAGGTATGCTATGATGGGTAACTTAGAAAAGATTATGTCATGATAAGATCAAATTCATTTACAGGATGAGATAATGGGGAAGAATGGAAGAGAATGCAATTCTAACCAGAAATAGGCTTGGCATAAGCCCCTTGTACAGTGCCCTCCATCCTTCTTCTTTGATTATCGTTCTTAAAGCATCTGATATCCATATACAAAAAAGTTCCTATGAAGTTAATATGTAGAAAAGTAAATACAAAAGAAGCTAGTCAGAAAACTGAATGTGCATGCACATACAGAAGAGAGCAGAAGTTGCAATAGAACCTCAGTAAACAAAAAGAGGACACACAACTATAGAACCACAAAATTGCAGAAATAAAGGTACAATTCTTATATGAAATTAAGATGGAAAGAAGTAGTCCTAGAGTGCTCAAAGTTAGATGAAAGCACAATGAAAAAGATGTTGACAAGTTACTACGAGGGTGAAGCAGACCATGAAATCCGGTGTATGGACGAATCTGATTAGGAGTCTGAAGTTGCAATCTTGTTTTCACAAGCCAAATGGGGTTGGTGCAAAGACAGACCTGAATTCCAACAAAAAACACCTTTTAAGATATGACATAATCTGCAACATTACAGGATGTGCTTAAAGTTACTGAAATAAGCAAGCCACATATTTTGTCCACCTGAATAATAAGTCATCAATCTGTTGTCATCAGAACTGATAAAGGGGGGAAAAGGTTGTCACAAAAAGATCAACACAATCAAATTCGTTTGTCTACAAGGTTCTCCAGTTCCTATATTTAACTAACACCTAATGGGTGGTTTGCCAATGATGGGAATCAGTAACTTCCTTTTTATGTTGGAATCCAAAACAGCAAGTTTATTACTCGACCTTGCCTTCCACTGAAAAAAGAGATTTCACTTTGGTCACAATTTTAAGTTTTATCAACAGTAAAAGTAAGGGATTCGTCACCAGCAAGCCAACTACAATTGCACTCCTACAAGGACTACAACAACAAATAAAGAATCACATTCAACTATCTACATTTTACACTCCTGCCAAAAACTGGTCAATTAGTGCTGAACATTTGAACATGTGAAGTACATTGTTCTTTCATTAAAGCATCAGAAATTTGATTACTGACCAGCGCTCCTGCTTCTGCAGCTGAAGCAAGGTGAAGGCCAGGACTCAGCTCCTCCCTGTTTCTTAGATACCTTTGCTTAGCCTTGCTATAACTACGCAAAGGAAATTCCAAAAAAGATGTTACAGTTAGAGAAAGATGTCTCTCAAGCTAGAAATGTAAGAAGCATCAAAGTGAAAGCAACCTAATATGTTGGTTGCTTCTTACAGGGCGACATTGTTTCTTACAAACAATCCCAAAAACAACAACAAACCCAATGTATGTCTGTGCTATAAAAAACAAAAAGCTCTAAGGTCTGTTGGGGCTTTAAGCGCAAACAAAGTGTGGTCTTTAATGAGAAAAGGTGCAAATGGACAAAAAATGCAAAAATAAATGTTTAGTCCAAGACTAATAATTATAAGCATGAATGACAAATATATGAACAAAGAAATTGAAAAAATTACGGTATCAATTGTTAAATATAGCCTCTTCAGAAGAGGCTCATTGGCAAGAGAAAGCATGCTTAGAACCCTAATGATGACGTTGAAGCACACATTAAGCCCAGCGAAGTGCTCAACACATTTTGAGCCTTGCTTCAGGGCTTAAGCGCTCCTCAGATAATACTAGTGTAATCTCACAAGTGGGGTCTGGAGAGGATAGTGTGTGTGCAAACCTTACCCCTACCTTGTGAAGGTAGAGAGATTGTTTTCATTCGACCCCCTGGCTCAAATAAAGAAAAGATAAAGAACGAAAAAGAAAAGAAAATATAGAAAGGGAAAGCATCCCAAAGCAGTTATGAACACATAAAATACGAAAGTGAAGAAGCTGTGGCAAATAATAGGAAAGCATTACATAGCATTCTGACTTAAAGGAACAGTAACCACAGCTAAATAATAAACCAGAACCAAAATCAACAAATGATAACAAAAATCGACGAACAAAAGCAACGAGAATAATACTCATACTACTGATATGAAAGGAGACGTGGATACGGTGCTCCAAATTACCACCAAGTTTATCCACCGGAAAGTGAGACAATACTCAACTACTAACTAATCGTCACCCTAATCCACGACCCTCTATATCCCCCTATCTAAGGTCATGTTCTCGGTAAGCTAAATGACAAAAGATGCTACTTACTAGAGCTTTGTCAACAAAAGAAAAAGATGTTACTTACAAGAAAAAATATAAACCCCATGAAATAGTTGACCCAAGAACAGCAGGGTAAAAGCCAGCATAAAGTCCTCTAAGACCCTGATAAGACAACATTATAGCTAAATAAATAAGTCATCTTGGTGGAAACATGAGAACATATATGAGCAATAAGGCAAATATTCAACAGTCTGCAGCATAAAAACTCAATAAGGGGCAGCAAGTAAAGGAGTTTCATCATGAAAACCATATGTCAGTGGTATGTTTGATTGTAATTGACAAAATATGATGGATTTTCTCACTATGATTATGTCATGAGGCTGACTGAATAAAACTCTACCTGTGAGAACAGGTAAATGAAACAAGAAAGCACTCAATCAAGATTTGAAGTAAATCAACGTGTCCAAGAAGACAGTTCACTCAACTGTTGACATTCAAATTAAGGACTTAAACCATATTTATAAGAAAACAAAGGACCTAGTTTTCCAGTTGTAGCCGCCATATACAAACTCTACTAGGATACAGTTCCTCTCAAAGGTTCCAAAAAGATTCTTGAGAGAGTGAATGGATAAACCGACTTACTGTGGATTGAATACCATAACGTAGAGAATATGATAACAACCGCAAAACTCCACATTTATCATTGTACTAGCACCAAGACGAACATGGTCCATTTCTTCGTAAAAGGATACTTACTGAAAACATCCATTTAGATACATGATACATCTAAGTAAGGGCATACACTCAACATTAAACCATGTGTCGTTTCCTAATCAAGGATAGAACATATTTGTTTAAACAGTGTTGCATATACATTTTTCCTGAAGTTGATATTACCTATTTGAGAAACCAAAAATTTGTGAAACAAGCATCCTTAACACATTATATGATTTGTCGCTCACCAGAACTACCAACTATATGAATTGAAAAATCAACTTCTTTTTCGTATCATGAATTAAAAAGTGAGTTTTGGAATAGTAGCAATGCATATGTAGATAGCTTCAATATTTAAAGAAATTGAAAAGATTCAGAAAAAACAAACCTCACTTCGAGCAATGGCAAACAAAGCGTGAGGAGTGTTCCGATAGGCCGGGACATTGGAGATTCTTCCATCGTAAACTATGATTAACATATACAACAAATCAAACTCCAAAGAAACAACAGGAGATCATTTATTTGCTATAGCAGGAAAGCACAACACTTACCCTGGAACCGGGTGCGAACAACATCAAGGGGATGAGAGAATGTGACAGTGGCAAGGCCTGCAGCAGCACCGGCGGTGGCATTTTCCCATTCCCAGTCTGCCGATGGCAAAGCTGCCATCTTTTTCATGGCTCTATCAACCGTTGGCTTCCTTTCCCCCTTGTTCCCAACGCTTTTCTTTTTGCCGTCTATGCAAAAAGAAATGAGGCGGGCCTTCCTGCGCAGACGAAAGGGTGTTGTATTGACCTACTGGTGACGTCCAACATGTCAACAGCTTGCGCCTGATTAGTTATTGTGGAATTTTTGGAACAATCAAGAAGTGTCAATTACTACTTGCATTATTATTAGAGTAAATTACATTAAACACCATCAGTTAGTACAATATACATGTTGTATTTAAAAGAAAAAAAAAATCATAAACAGACATTTAAATATATCAGGAAAATTATTCACACATTGATTTTTTATTTTTTTAAATTTTTTTATGACTCTGGTGTCCAACATCTTCTACTCCCATATTTGTATGGAATGGAACAAATACTCCTAATGAGAGAAATCCACATCCATGTTATTATCGACAATAAACACTACTCTCTCTCCATTCCCTTTTAAGTGTTCTTATTTAGAATATAACACATCAGTGAAAAAGTCATTTAATAGAAATCCCACAGCAATACTTTCTGATGTTTCTATCATAAATACTGTACTATTAGTTTAACCACGGTATATTAGGTGTTTTTCTAATTTTTTAAGCAGACCTTGACCCTTAGAACAATAGTGTACTGGTTTAATAAGATTATTGCACTGGACAAACTGGTCTCAAAGTCTAATGGAGGGGAGCCGTGTCCATAATTACACGAAACCTCTATAATAATGCATGCCTATTTATAAACTGATAAAAACTGTAATCAATCTGCTATAATCAGTTGAATTACATTTACTCGTTTAAGATAAAAACTGTACACTATCAAGTACTCAACGAACTGCATGATTTTCATAGCTAAGCATAGTGACTCACAACAAATTAGCTTTTTTTTTGCCACTTCGAATGTACAGTCCAGGTTTGAATCCACTGAACAGAATACAAAATACTTAGACAATTTGACAATGAAGCCTATAATGTCAACGATGCCTTTGTCCTGTCATTAGAGAACAAATTCACGCTCCTGAACTTGACCAGCCAGCTTAAGTTGCCCATCTAATCCATCTAGTAAGGAATAGATCTCCTGTGAAGAATGGTGATAATTATCACACGCTGCAAACTGATGGATCTTTTTCTTTAATTCAATCCAACTGGAACCCGGTTGTTCTTTTCCTACTCCTAGCTCTCTCAAGAATGCCCTGATCCGGGCAACTTCACTCCATCTATTTGCATTAGCGTACATGTTCACTAGGAGGGTGTAATAGCCACTGTTGTTTGGCTCCAAAACGCTCAACTTTTTGACTGCAACTTGAGCAATTTCCAAGTTCTTCTGAAGCTTGCAACCACCAAGTAAAGCACCCCAAATAACAGCATTTGGCTCCACTCTCATGCTTCTTATAACCTCGAGTGCTTCCTCTAGCAAACCAGCTTTACACAATAGATAAACCATGCACCCGAAGTGCTCCATTTCAGGAACAATGCCATAATCTTGAGTCATACTTAGAAAATTCTTTCGACCCTTCTCAACAAGCCCTGCATGAGTACAAGCTGTAAGAACGCTGACGAAAGTAATACCATTTGGCTTTACCTTTTCTTTCTCCATCCTGCTAAAAAGAGCTAACGCTTCTTCTGCATAACCATGAACAGCCAATCCATCGATAGCAGAATTCCAACAGAAAAGATTTTTCTCTCTCAATTTATAGAATACCAAGAGTGATCTCTCCAAACTCCCACATTTTGCATACATGTCAATTAATGCAGACCCGATATGCACACCAAGATCAAAACCTTTTTGCATAACATAAAGATGCATCTCCTTTCCTTGATCCAGGACGCCGAGATGTGCACAAGCAGAAATAACAGTTGTCATTGTTACTTCATCAGGAGTGATCAAGTTACTCTTCATTTCATAAAAAACCTCTATAGCCTGACCATACTTCCTGTTTTGAGAGTAGCAGTTAATCATCGTCGTCCATGCAATCAAATCCTTCCTTGACATTTCCTTAAACAAGAGCTCAGCCGACTCGACATCCCCTGTTTTCGCATACCCATTGATCATAGCATTACAAGCAACAGTAATCTTTTCAGGCATCTCATCAAACAATTTTCTAGCGGAACCCAAATCGCCAGTGCCGGCATGGGCTGAAACCATTGCAGCCCAAGCAAAATTATCTCTTTCAGGCATTTCATCAAACACTAATCTCGCTAAATCAACTCTAGCCAAATTAGAGTAAAAATCAATCAGACTAGTTTGAACAAAAACATGGGATCCAAACCCATATTCCCAAATCTTCCCATGTATACATTCCCCTAATCTTAGACCACACATCAATGTACAACCCTTAACTACCGATGAAAATGTATAGCTACTTGGAATATTTTGAGTTCTTAACATGTCTATATACAACAGTAATGCTTTATGCGGGATGTGACAATGAACAAAAGCTCTTATTAATGCGTTGTAAACGAACACATTGGGATTTTCCATCTGGGAAAATGCAAAGGATGCAAAATCTGGGTTATTAAGTGCAGAACATGTAGCGATGAACTGGTTCATCAAGAAACAGTCTTTGGTTGCACCATTCTTTAGCATCAAAGAGTAAAGGGATTCCAGCTGCTTTCTACTTGAACATATTTTCAGTTGGTTCACAATAGAAAGGATACTGTTCTTTGTTAACATTGATATTCCTGTCGTAGTTGCCCGTATAATTGTATAACCTCTGGTCTGTAGAGAAATGAGTATACTTAGAAAAGGTGTCAAGAAGAGTCCGGATTTGAAGCTTATAGATTTGGGATTCTTATATTTGGACTAAATGAATAATTTACACAAATTCAATAAATTTCTTGAAATAAATACATAGTTTTGACCAAACTATTGGATTCAACTGAAATCCTCGGTGGCTATAGATATCATCTATTCATCTAATAACAAAGGTTATTGGTCTGTGCACTCAATCTTGATTCTTGACATATATTTTTTTTTCAGTATGCATGTTGGAGTCCCACATTAACATTCTATTTTTAGAATAAAGGGATTACTTTTTTTCTGAAATCCCAAATAGCAGAGCACAGCAAACACAATCAGATTACAAGAACAGTTAAATCCCTATATAGTCAATAAATCCAACTTCCCGCAAAAACCCTAACTCATACATTAAAGATTCCAATACAAAATAATTCCACTACTACAGAAGAACTCCAAGGACTAGTTCAAGAGATAATCAGAAACCCTAGCCATAATTTCTTTTTCTAAAAAAAGAAAACGAAGACGTAATCGGTCATCATCTTGATATTTCAAAACACATAAGAAATTCAAAATATATATGCGTGGGAAAATGACTGACCTATTAGAATAGTCTCTTTCGCGTCTCCATATATATAATAAAAGTTGTGGGAGTCGTCGCGTATCAAATTGTACTATCTGATGATTGTTCGTGTGCTTTTCTAATCCACTATCTACGGTTATTAACCCGCCGGTCGAACCACTTATATTGTATCAAGTTATTAAAAAAATTAAATTATATGAGAGTGTTAAAATTAACGTTTAGTTTGGGAGAATATAAGTCGCTTGCAATTCACAAGTAGGTTGAGCCTCGGATCGAGAGTCTGTTGAAAATAATATAATTATCTTCAAAAGTAAGAAAAAAACAACATGCACTCTATCTTCTCAAATTCCACTTAATATTTTATTATTATATTGAATAGCTAAGACTCGATTTTTGAGTCCGTTCGAATCGAGAATTGTCAATACTTGATCCTCAATGGCTGAAATTATTGATTACACACCGGTAAGAATTTTGCTTTGGCATCCTCTAAAGGACGGATTTTGAACAAAAATAGGATCTTATGCTGAACTTGTCGCAATTATTAAGGTAACTAACGATAACTCCCTGATTATTTTTTCAGTTTCTTACCCTGGCAAAAAGATCCATAAAATATACACGAGAGTTGCATATTTTGTTGACGTAAACAATGCACATTATTGTTTTGCACCATTTCGAATGATACATACAACCAAATCCACTTAACGTATATGATGCCGATTGCAATACACGATGTAAGTTGTAAACTTTGTTAGTTCATACTGGTAGTAGCAGTAGTGTAGCATATTCCTTGCAATTTCTGAATAAATCGAGCTGCTCGTATATTTGAGAAACTCAAACCTTACTAAGAAATAAAAAAGGAAGGCCTTACTACTTTCACTTGTACTGTACATATCTGTTTTGGTAATAAACTCACCTCCATTGACAAAAAAACAAGAGTGTGTGTTAAAACAATCCATTTTCACACAAAACTCAGGACTGTTTGAGGCATCTTTCAAAAAGATAGGAGAAAAAAAGGGTAAAAAAAGCAACGGCTCCAATCTCCAAAATAAAATTTTGATAATCATATAGTTAATTCCAGATAAATTGGTACGAATGGTTGCTTAAATAGAATACAGTTCTAGGTGACCGTATAAGATCCTTTGAAAATTCTCTTGGGATATATTTGTATTGCAAACTCACTAGGAACCCAAAAAAATGAGCTTCAATTCATTTAAGCCTCGCAGGAATATATAATACAAACCATTTCCAACTCCAGCTTTGACCCAGCCGATTCTCCCTACGCAAAATTGCATCATCTTTTGAAGCACAATATCGGAAACAGGGGAGAATCTGTCCTGACAGAACAAAAGTTCTAATCATATACTTGGCCAATTCCTGTTCGCACAAACTAACTTGTCACCCGCGCCAAGAGTACAACTTCTGCCAAATGAACAATTGTCACAACTACCAACAGGTCAATCAAATGATAGAGTGCTTCAAAGTCAGCAAAACACATCAAGCTCTACTCTCTGCATATAATGTTGCCCTGTCCTATCACAACTTTGATACACAGAAAACTTAACCATACATGCGTTGTATTCCTTTTTTTTCCAAATAATTTGTGTTCTACTCCACCTAACTAGGCTGTGAAAAATATTTTCCTCTTCAAACTCTACTGCAAAAATAAAGTAATTTACCTCTAATCACAACACACAAACATCCGAAGAGATGCAAAGCTTCGAGTCAGCCCCACCACTGATTACACTTTCACCTTTCCACCAATCCGCACACAATACCTGTATTGACAGACTAATGTTAGCAAATTCTAATGTAATAGAACAAATACTCTAAAACCAGCTCTTAGAAGGCAAACAGTAGCACCTTGTCCTTGTGAGTATCAATGACAGCAAGGGGCCACTGCAATACAAATTGTTTTTCCCATGAATAGAAAATGTAAGTGCTTGTAAAACATACTAATCATTATAGAAACATCAGAGGTATAACACTAACCGCAGTTCTTAAGTCCCACAACATTACTTTCCCATCATAAGATGCAGAAACCAAGTGAAACCGTGATTTTTCATGCCATTTGCAGGCGGATATCCAAGAACTGTGTGATGAGAACTGATAGACAGGTGCCGAAGAACCTGGAGTGATAATGAAAAAGTTTTTTTTGTATATCATTGTGTGATGTAAGGTCGTCAGTTACTTGAACAATTTAAACAGAGAAACAGGGATTAAAGTTTCAAGGGTGTGTTTAAAGTGCTTCTGCAAGTTGGACCAAAAAAAAGAAACCTGGTTTTCGGGGATCCCATATCCTAAGAACGGGGTCAGAACCACCAGCAGCAATGAGGGAAGAACCTTCACCTCCAACATCAAGGCAATTAACAACTTTGTCGCAATACTGTTGAAGAGGAAGGTGGTTATTATCCATACTTCTAGGACAAAACAGTTTATAGCTCTCAACAAATATACTAAAAAACACTATGTCTTGGCATTAAAAAGGCTCAAAACCGGGTACTCATCATGATGAGGTAATTTTTAAAATATGATTGTTGACCCAAAGGGAAATGTTATCTCTGACAGAAAGTAAAAGCAATATCAGTAGGAAAAGAATATGTATGTGTTACACCTTCCACAAAAATTTCATAATTTCATATTCTGCAAGTGGAAAATTTGTTTTGGCCCCCCTCCACAATCCATATGTATATAGTTTTAGAAAATACTAGCCTACATGCACAGGACAGTAGAGATATGACTGGAAGAACAAGAGAAAAGAGAAGGCATGTCACCAGGTTCAATGAATCCTTGCCCATCTCAACATCCCATCTTCTTATAGAGTGATCCCATGATGCTGAATAAATTGTTTCATCTTGTGGCCACACCACAGATGACACACACTGTGTATGTCCTACAAGTGTAGATTTAGCCTCCTCCTGAGATCATAAGATGTGATAGAACTTTTTGAGAACAAGATTATGATAACAAACATTGAAGAAAATTAAAAATAAAAGAGAAAACAATAGAAAAGGAAGAGCCAAAAAAGAGAGAGAACATAGACAAAGCAACTTAGAGTGATATAATAAGAGATAACACCTCTCCTCCTAGTCAAAGACACGACATATTTCAAAAATCAATTTCAAAATATTTTGACCCTTCAATTGCATTGATGAACATAGTCATTTGAGGAAATCAAAAGGTTTTTCTTTTTTTGTCTTTCACCAAAACGGACACAAGATTTTGCTAATCTATATCAATTGTCAATGAGAGATAACATAGAAAGTCAGAGACATTTGACTGGCACAAAATTGTTGCTGAAACAACATTGAGAAAAGAAGAATATAATGGCAATAAAGGTGGTAATAAAGAACAAGGGAGGAAGTTAGGGATCAGAGAGGGATAGCAGGGAGGGGGAAGGAAGAAGAAGACATACTCCCTCTAGTTCCAGTTAAATGGCGGTATGTTTAAGGCTACAAGTTTCAAAAAACTTATAGCCAGTTATGTCGTATTTTAGACCACAAGTTCCTAAAGTCTTCATTTCTTTCTTAAGCTGCATGTCAATTCAAACTATATCAATAATTTGGAATGGAAGAAGTATCAACAGAAAGTTGGAGGCGCTGAAGGAAGAAGGTTGGAACAATTGAATTGCTGTAGCATATAAGAGGTAGTATGGAAAAGGGTGTGAACTAAGATTCAGGGTTGAAGAGGATTTGTGAAAATAGTAAAAGTAGATGGTTCCTTACGTCTATGTCTTGCACTGGGAAGTTTTTGAAATCAAACAGTAACTGCAGCCATGAACTGTTCTTTCCTCCTTTTTTAACTGTTTTTGGGAACAGACACATTGGAGGCACTCCAGGAAGAAGGTTGGGACAATTGAATGGATGTAGCACATAAGAGGTAGGATGGAAAAGGATGTGAACTAGGATTCAGGGTTGAAGAGGATTTGTGAAAAAGTAAAAGTAGAGAGTTTTTTACGTGTATGTTTTGCACAGGAAAGTTTTTGAAATCAAAATAGTAACTGCATCCATGAACTATTCTTGCCTCCTTTTTCACTGCTTTTGGGAACCGACACATTATCCTTTTTATGGATAAGGTAGAAGTTAGAACTTAGAAAAGAGATGTTATCCTTATTAAACAGATCATGGATTTTTATACACTATGTGGAATGAAATAATGTATCCTTCTGTCTTAAACCTAGGAGAAATGTAGTCATACTTCTACTTGAGGATCCTCCTCATCGGCATTCTTCTTCCTCTTCTTGACTGAAATGACGTCACCTGTATCTGAGCAGCCACTTGCTTGCCACAAAGCTATTTGGGAATCCCAGGACCCTGAACACACCTGTCAATGCAATAAATACTGGGATTCAGTAAGAGTTATTAGAATCAATTTCATAATCAAAAGCCTTAAATGATCAATTAAGTGAAGAGATGCATGACCATATCTCCAGCAGGATTTGCTGTAACACTTTGGACGGAAGCATTATGTCCATGTAAAATCTTAAAGGCTCTAATCCTCTTTGTCTGATCCGAAGACTCATCTGCATCAAACTTTTTAGCCAAACAATACTAATTAGGGGAAGATCACGAATTAGGCAGTGAGCTATAAGGAGCACAGGCACATCATTTACCTTCCAGAGACGCAGTGTCCTATCCTTGGAAGCCGTAGCGACTATTTGATCAGCACCATTTTGAGCCACTACAGAAAATAAAAGGTATAAGCATGATTAATAAAAAGACAGAATTCCAGAAGAAATGAAGCACAGAGAAGTACATATCCAGGAGAAAGTCAAACTATATCTCCATAATGATTGTAATGCTGTAAAAGTTTTTGGTATCCAGTAGGTTCCGGTATTGCAAGGCAAGTTAATAGAATGGATATCAACAAGAAATATTAAAAAGAAAAAAGAAATATCAAGAGCAAGTGATGTGGGAGTATGAACATAGTGTCAAGGTAAATGATAACGGCAGCAGACGATAAGGCCTAATGCTAGACAATGAGCAACTGAGATATCCCAGTGATACCTCTTGGTTTGACAACACAAACAGAAGTAATTGCATCAGTATGGCCCTCCAGTAGATGCGTACAAGATCCAGCAGCCATCCATATTCTGTTTAGCACTATCAAATGTTAGGTTGATACAATAACCAAAAAAGGCGATTAGCATAAGAGTAAAAATTCAGTAGGTTACCTTCCAAAACCATCATAACATCCAGTCACAACAAACCTGTCAGATCACAAATATGCACATCTTGTCAATTAAGGCAATAGTTGATTGTATGCAAAGAAGACCTTTAATTACATTATTAACGGTCACCATCAAATATTTTAGGGGGGGAAAAGCACATGGAGGATGAAATTTACCTTCAAAACACAGGGGACAATAGCAGCATAATGTAATTATATAAAACAATGTGTTCCTTATTAATCTAGTGAGTAAAAGACACTATGAGTGATGTCAATGCACAACACCTGGAGAATAGGGTACAGAGAAACAATAAACAAAGAAATGCAAACACTCCATTTAGTTATATTATGCTGGCTCTATTTTATTTTATTTTTTGGCTAGGATAAACCAATATTGTCTTTCAGTAAAGTTAGCATACAACCACCAAATCTTAAATATATTAAACAAAGAATGATATACAAGGCGGTAAAAATTACAAGGATCAAACTGAGATTCTAGAAAAACAAATTTCACACTCATGCTTACATGGAATTAGAACCATCAACTGCACTGACCCAATCGTCATGCAAAGATGGCTCTTCTTCTTTCCTCGGAGCCACAGCTCTAATGTACTCAATCTCCAATATTTTCTCCTGTAAAAGATATAGAAAACAGTTGGAAGAAAGATGAGTAGAAGAACCACTGAATAAACGTATAATAACATAAGTAAAATATATTGTCAAAAATCTCAATGGTTTGTGACTCTGAAAGAAGTCACTTCTGGCTAGTGAACAAGAACATAAGAAAAACAACTAGGAGGGAACTAGAATTACAGAGTAACAGTACTTCTAGAACCTTCAGGTGTGTATATCTTTTTGCAATACGTAAAATTATTTCAAACGCCTCATAAGTATAACTCGGTTATCTAATCATTTCCAGAAAGAAAAAGTTTTGTCATTAAACTACACTGACTACAATTTTTTGCATTTATTGTTACAACCTACAATTTTAAAACAGAGCTGTTAATACTTTAGATTTTTCTACAACTTTGAAACTCCAATTAGAGATACAATTGTAAGCATATAAAGAACAAAACCTACTACTGTGGAGTCAGAACGAAATCCAAGCAACGAGGGACAACATTTGAGCTAATCCAGATGTTGGTACAAGTTCACCTCGAGCTCGGGCCACTAATACACTTCTGTTTTCGTGTTTAAAATCAATGTTTACACAAATGTACAGAGTTCATTTTACGTTTTTTTTCTGGAAACAAGATTAGCCCCCTTCCTTAAGTATCTTTTTCTTTGAGTTGGTCTGAAGAGACAAAACAGTCCATTCTATGAGTTTGGAAACAAGATTAAAACCAGCTTCCGTAAGCATTTTTTTATTTTGTTGGTCTGAAGAAACAAAACAGTACAACTGGAACTGTGGTCATTCAAGCAGTCAGGAAGTTCTTTCAGGAAAGAAACTTACAGCTGAAATGCCCTTGGCAAGGAGAAACTCTTCAAGTGACATGCGGACCAGTTCCCCATCAATGAGAAAATCAAAAGGCTCGGGATTCCAATCATCATTTCCTAATAAAATCAAATGGCAAACAGGTAAGCATACTAGTAAAAAACACAAATAGCAAAATCACTGGGCAGATAGTACAGTGCTAGTCCATTATACATAAGATCAGGTCCTTTATTTAATTAAATATGAAACCCCCTCTTCTATATATGATCCCAAATTTAGACACAATATACATTTTGATAGATTCATTTCTAAGTTACTCAATTATGGCACCGTTGACCCATAATAACTAAGCTCTCGTACCATAAACAAAAACCTATTCAACTTGTCAATATAGCTTAACAAACACTCATCTATAGCAATTTACTAGCTCATAGCTTAAACAAGTGAGTTAAACCAATCAATTAAGCCAAATTGACGATTTACATGAGCTATATACAACAACCACTCTAACCCACAAGCAACTATTTCAGTATCAACGACCATATCCTCTGTAATTATAATTAATTCTCTAAAACAAAAAATAAATCCACTTCCATATAAACTCAAAACTAAATGACACAACCAATCAATCAACCACATCCAAGTCCCATACTATAAGCACATTCCACTTAACAAAATCAGTTAGAACTAAAAGTTACCGGCTTTAAGGAGGTTGTTGACGATGGAAGAGAGGCCCAATCGGGTAAGATTAGAGGGAATAGCAATAGAAGTAGGCGGAGCCTTAAAGGGTGCTTTCAACTTCGTGACGAACCGGACCTGTACACGCCTTGCAGCCTCTTCAACGTTGCCATCAATGTCCATACCCGCCATTAAAAAAGTATTGTGTAGAGAGAGAGAAGGGTGCGGAGTGTGAGGGTAGAGACGTTCACGGGCAAATTCGTTGCGGGTGGAATTAGGGTTTAAGGTTTTGTCGACGGGTCGAACTAGGGTTTAAGAATTTGGGTGGGTGGGTTAATTGTCCGTAAATGGGGCAAAAGAAAAGAAAAAAAAAACGCTAGAAGGAGGGCTTGAACCTCCGACCTTGTGGTTAACAGCCACATGCTCTAACCAACTGAGCTATTCCAGCTTGACGATTATTTTACCGTCATATAATTTTTAACCCATATGAACTGTCAATTTTTATTTTACCACTTACTATTAACGCAGTAATATTTTTTCGCTTACTATTAACGCTAGGTATTATTTTTTCGCTTACTGTCAACGCTAGGACTAAAAAAGTACAAAACACATAACCACTTACTAGATTATGATGAAATAAATTTATTTTTTCAAGAGTTTATTTTTACTTTTTTCTGTCTCATATTAGTTGATCATTTTACTAAATGTATTTCTTTCATATTAATTAATTATTTTACTAAATCAATGAAACACTAATTAAGTTTTTATTATTATATTACTCTTGCAATTAATTCTTTTGAAAAGTGTTCATATTTGTTTGCAAAAATTTCAAGTTTTTAAGGAATAAATTAGTAAAATCATTTTCTTATTTGTGACTTCTTAAACACGATGCAAAATTGAAAGTCAATTAATATGGGATGGAGGTAGTATTGTCTTATATCTGAGCATAATACATAAATATGATCCTTAACTTAGCTTCAGCGGATAACTATGCCCTTCAACTTTGAGTATGCACAAATATGCACTTAAACATGTATAAAATTAAATAAGTAGACACATATGTCTTACATGCCATAATACATGTAGGACGCCACATAGAACACAAAATTTCAATGCAGGGTGCCATGTAGAACGGATTTGCCTATTTGTTCAATTTTATATAAGTTTAAATGTCTACTTGTGCACATCCGAAGTTAAAGAACATAGTTATCATCTGATACCAAATTCAGGGTTATATTTATGTATTATGCCTTATATCTATTCCAATGATATCTTTTCATATGTCGGATGCTATTAAGCATATTTTTCATAAAATTATCTTTGATCTTACCAACGTGAATAAAGGATATTAACCGTCTTATTTATGATTTTTTTTAATTATAGTAACATATTGGAGGAAGATTAAATGTTCAACTTCAAATAATTATTTTTAATCATTTGTATAGTTGAGTAAGATTATGTATCTATTTATGAAGTAATAAAAGGTTCCCATTAATATTTGATACCTTTTTTAAAAGTTAAAAAAATGATTTTCTTTTTTAAAAAAAATAAACTTAGGTCATTAAAAGTTGGTTATTCATGCAGCCTAAATCAATTATTCTTAATGTCATAAATTTGAAGTAATATAAATATTGATATCTAAAATCATAATTTTAATAAATATTGATATCTAAAATCATAATTTTATCATTTTTTAATATTTTAAAAACAATTTTTTTAAAAAAAATAAAATTAACTTCTTTTAGTTTTATGCTAGATCAATTTATATCACCTAAGATGAAATGTAAAAAAATACACGTATGTTTCTTACAATGTTGGTAGTACAATATAAGCTTCCTTAAAACAAAACTACCTGTCTAATTTGCTATTACTAGATCATAACCAAGAGTACTTTAGCCCATGGGCAAAACATAAAGTCCACTAATTTGAGGAGCAAAAATGAAAGACCAACCTATAAGATATATGTTGGTCTAGTGCCAATAAAATGAACCCATATTTTAGTAACCTGTTCAATGCGTTCATATTTTAATAGGTTGGGCGAGTGATAAAAATATGATAAAATATGGATAAAGTATGAATTAGTAAATCGAAAATGAAGTCACAAAATGAAGTCATATAATAAGTCGAAAACCAATAATTGAAGGCTAAATCATTTGTCTAAGGGATTTGGTTATTACATAAAAATTACAATTTCAAGAGGTTAATGATCTTTTGTATAATCAATTTACTATAGGTCTATATGACAATATTAATATAGGTTAATTTTAATGATGAAAGAGTAATTATAAGCTATTCGACACACGTGTGCGTGCTTGCGTGCGAGCGTGAGGCGTGCGTGTATGCGTGTATGTGCACTTATTAGAATTTCATTTAAGTATTCTGATAAAATGAGCATTCTTATTTGTTTACTGGTCATTATATTTGTTTCTTATACTAGTATATATTGTATTCGTTTACTGGTCATTATATTTGTTTCTTATACTAGTATATATTGTATATGTATTGATCTTTATAAGTTTTGGACTTTTCGATCATGAGATGTTATTGTTCGAGTTTTGACTCAAATAAGTGATATTAAGACATTATAAGTATTCTCAAGTAAGTTCATTTTCTATAATAATATAATCTCTCATCGAAGACTGTTGTAGTCAAACTTATTTATTAGTTCATTGAATATTTCATATTGCGTCACAATAATTACTTATGCACTAAAGTCTAATTTAAAAATAAAGTTTGGCCTATTAAGTAATTGACCGTCTAAAACTCACATCGAAAGTAGAGCAACTTATACAGATTTACTACTTCTACATAACACTGTTATAAACGAAGACATAATAAAGGGGTAGACTGTAATCCTATTCATTTCATGAACTTCAGATTGATAAGATTAAAATAAATCAAAGCAAATTTAGGATAAATCATGGGGAAAAAATATTAAATCTCGTCAAAAAGTCTCGATTCATTTTCTATGATGAGATTAATGGATATGACAGTAAAATTTTGAAATATCATATAATCTTTTTTATCAAATTCAAAAAGGCTAAATTGAACCAACTTTAATGGATAGATCATAATTCGAATCATCTCGTGAAACTCAGATTGATAAAATTAAAATAAATTAAAGCAAATCTAGAATAAATCATGAAAAAAATATTAAATCTCGTCAAAAATATTTAATTTTTAAAACTTAAGTAAATAATGAACTTTGCCTTCTATCAATTTTTATAAAGAGAAAGTAGACCAACAAATTGATTTTTTTTCTCAACTCAATCAAATCAATCCACATCCAGAATGAATTAATATTCAAATTAATTTTTTATATGTTGGATGATTTATATACTAGAATGATTTCTTATAAGCTCTTAATTTCAAATACTCTTTTATTACATATAATAATGTACATATTTTGATACAATTTTTTTAAAAAAAGTATATTAAATATGTCTCCTTATGTACTTAATGCCTTTAAGATATTCATTATGAATAATTAAGTTAATTTATTCATAATTTTAAACATATAAAGAAGTTCTTATGCTTTTTGTATTTATAAAAATGAAATAAAAAATGAATAAGTTGTTTTTCTATTTCCACCTTTTTGTATAATCAATTTACTATAGTAAGTGATCTTTTGTATAATCAATTTACTATAAGTGTATATGATAATATTTATTATAGGTTAATTTTAATGATGAAAGAGTACTTATAAGTTATTTGACAGACGCGTGCGTGCATGTCTGCGTGCGTGCATGTTTACGTGCGAGCGTGCGTACGTATGTGTATGTGCGCTTATTAGAATTTCATTTAAGTAATATGATTACTGGTCATTTTATATGTTCCTTACACTAGTATTATGTTGTATGTGAATTGATCTTCATAAGTTTTGGACCTTTTGATCATAAGATGTTGTTATTCGAGTTTTGACTCACGTAAATGATAGTAAGACATTATAAGTATTCTCAAGTAAGTTAATTTATTATAATAATATAATTTCTCATCGAAGTCTATTGTAGTCACACTTATTTATTAGTTCATTGAATATTTCATATTGCATTATAGGTTATTTTTCTAAAATAAAAAAAAATGGACAACCACAATAATTACTAATACGCTAAAATCTAAAATAAATAAAGTGTGGCCTATTAAGTAATTGACAGTCTAAATCCACATCGAAAGTACAACAACTTGTGCAGCCTTACTACTTCTACATAACATTGATATAAACGAAGACAAAATAAAGAGTTTATAATTTATTTTATCACTTTTATGTTCTCGTAAGAATGAATCTCTTATGGTTTCAAAACTGTTGATGAACTTGAGAACTTCAAAAAATTATTTTTGAGGTGTTGTGTGTATAACTATGTATTTTTATTTTCTTATTTCTCAAGTTGAATTTTATGATTTTGCATTCATTTGTTTAATACTTAATTTAAATGTAGTTTAAACTCATTTTTTTTTCAGAAGTGGATTTTGGTGAAATCGTCATTGGAAGTGACTGCTTGATGAAGATCGAAATCTTTTGTATTCTGTTGAATTGCAAAATGTACTGCTTTTTTAATATAGGCAAAATACCATCAAAATCTTATCATTTTCGTCAAGGTGAATGAATTCAATCACATATTTATTTTTAAATTTAACTAATAGCTTTTGTATTTGTTTGTGAAGTCTCACTTCACTTTCTATGATGCGATTAATATAAAATTTTGAAATACAAAATAAGTAATTTTATTGAATTTAAAAAGGTAAAATTGGACCATTTTTAATGTATAGGCCGTAATCCAATTCATCTCATGAACTCAGATTGATAAGCTTAAAACAAATCAAAGCAAATTTAGGATAAATCATGAAAAAAAGATATTAAATCTCGTCAATAATGTTTTATTTTAAAATTAGTAAACAAAAAGTTTAATGGATACAATAGTAAGATTTTGGAATATCAAATAATTTTTTTTATCAAATTCAAAAAGGCTAAATTGGATCAATTTTAATGGATAGATCGTAATCCGACTCATCTCATGAAGCTCAAATTGAAATGATTAAAATAAATTATAGCAAATCTAACATAAATCATGAAAAAAATATAAAATCTCGTCAAAAATATTTAATTTTCAAAACTAAGTAAATAATGAACTTTGCCCTTCTATCAATTTTTATAAAGAAAAAGTAGACCAACAAATTGATTATTTTCTCAACTCAATCAAATCAATCCTCATCCCGGAATGAATTAATATTTAAATTGATTTTTTATATGTTAGATGATTTATACACTAAAATAATTTCTTATAAGTTCTAAATATAAATAATTTCTTATA